GTGACTTAAGTGTAATTATTTTATGTTATGTATTTTTTTTCAAATTTTTTTTTGACCTATAAAAAATTGAGTAAACAATAAAAAGGTAAGTAGGTACTGTTGAATGAGTGATAAAAGTTAGGCAGTACTGTACACTATATTGCATTGACGTAATATATTTTTTAGTGATGTCATCGTCAGTTATACACATAAATCGTAACTATCATCTGATTATATTCAATATTCGATACTTCATTTAATTTCCTAATCGTGTATATACAATTCATAACTCACTTTATCACATATCAACTGGCGCTCAATTGTTTATAAAATTAAAGTTATAACTTATAAAATAATATAACATATTCTTCTCATAGAGCCTTCAAATATGAACACTTGGTTATACCTAATGCTGATATATTCAATATCAATAACATGTAAGTGGCATCTTTTAATTACGAAAATTATAATTATTTTCTTGTTCAACAAAATAAAGAAACTCATATAGTAAGAATAAGTGACCCACCAAAATAAAATAAAATAAATTAACAACAATATAATTTTTTATATTTTAACTAAATTGGGATCCTGTATTCAGAGTTGTATTTTATTATTTTCTTAAAGATGTCACATAATTAATATATCAAAAATATAATTTCAACAATTCGTTTATAATAATTTAAGAATAATTTGTTCAGAATATTCTATAAATATTTAAAATATGAAGGTATATTAACAATAAAGTACTTAAAATATGTATTTAATAATATCATTTCTTCATTGAAAAATTGATATTTATATAATATTGCCATACGGATATGCTATAATAGTTTATTCCTGAAAAAAATAAACCGTGCATAAACGATATAATATAGGTTACTGGTTAGTAATCACTGATTTTGGTCATTAACATGTACGTGGGTCTCCAAAAACATCAACGATTAGAAATTATTATACTTGATTCTTTTAATCTAAAAGATAGCAATTTTCCGAAGTTTGAACATCACTATACTGTTCAATATACGTATTAACGAAAGCCATACTTCCTGAATAACTTCTGTCAGTTTTAAGTATCAAGTAGGTACTTATTTTTTGGCCAATCGACCGTTTTGGGCCATCTCAAATAAAACGGGTTTTCTCATTTATTGACTATAAAGGTTTAAACCCATGAGAAATAACCGCAAAAATTAATTATATCTTTAGAGCTTAACCAAATAATTACGTCTAGTTAAAAATACTTTAAAGAAAAAGTTCTTAAGAAAAAATATAAATATTCGGCATGTATTTTTATAATTTTTGAATTAGACAAATTATTTAATTCAAGTAGGAATGCAAAACTAATTTTGTAATTTAAACATATAATTCATTGTTCTTGTATTAACTAATTAACTATTCTACATAGATTATGATTAGTTTTAAACAGATATCTAATAGAAAGGTGATATTTTAATATAATAATAACAGGAATTGTTGTGGAAACGTTCGTAGCGTCCAAACCATATATAGCGTGCAGAAGTTGAAATGAAGTTAAGTTTTAAATGATTCCAGGGGTACTAACTATTGTAAAATTTAAAGTTAACTGGTTCAAATATGTTTGGTTTTTACGAAGATAACCAAATAACTACCTTTACGCTAATTAATTAAATTATTTCAACTAATCTTAAATAAAATACATGTATTTTCAGAGTCTTCTAAATATTTAGTGATGTGGCATAAATCCGAACAATCTGATAGTCCAAAAAATCCAGGTTTTGGACTCGCGAATTTAAGAATTTTGAGTTGCAAATTGCAAAAAAAATAGTAATGAGTATTTTTAGAGTTATATGAAAAATATCTAAAAGAATCCAAAATAAATTTTATTAAATCCAACATACCGACTATAAAAAAATCATCATATTCCGGATTTTGAGATTCTAGATTATCGAACTGTATCAAATCCCTAATTTTCTGATCCAAAATAATAGTACAAGAACTCCCTTTTATACCTCCCATCGTATTATACCCCATGTGGTTGAAGCTGTTAAAATAAACAGATCAATAAAATTGTAAAAAAAGTGTAACTATGCAATTTTCTTAAATTTTTATCTTGAATTTTAATTATATTATTCGTAAACATTTTGTATTATAAACATAGTATTAAAAATTGTATTTATGATTTCGATACTGATCCCAGCGAGATATTACTGGTAAATTAGTATAACTATAATATATTTCATCTGTTATACGTACAGAATTTTCTTTAGCTCATTGGAAATTACTTCATGTGGTTACTAAATAATGGCAGTTAATGCTCTAATTTTGAAAATATTATAATTACATAATATTTTAAAATATTGAACATCTTTTAAACAAATAATCGGTAGTATTTTTAGGTCGGTAAATTTAGTATATAGATACTATCGATATATTCGATTATATTGATAACACGGCTATTATAAGAACATTTTTCTTTTGTCGATTACCATTATCTCACCATCGTTCTACTGTTAATACTATTTTAAATATCAACATTATACTATTATAACATTTCTGTGTCGGCTATCCTTTATGAGTCGAATAACTGGAATTTAAATATCTATAAACCTTCACGGTACAATGTAGAACCAATTTTGGAAAAGTTCCTGTAAAATCGGTACAGTGATTTTTCAATCTATAAAGGACATACAGACGGACAGATATTCACTTTTATTAAATTTCACCATCGCGATATTATTCTAACGAAATATCTAAATTTCTCACTAGAAAGTATTTTGCCCACCCATCTCCGTTAGTAAACAATAAAATGAGAATTGATACCGAATTAATTCATCGATAATAATGATAATTTGATTATTTTAAAATTAAATGACTATGGAGTATTACGAATAAATATATCTTGCAAGCCTGGTTAGAAGAAGTGATTTTTTTGTTTATGTACTTTTTTAATGGAATTTGAATGTTTAAATAATTTTATAATCGATTTAAAAATGTTTTTGATTCAATCATTTCAGATACAAATCTTCTAGACATTGAAAAAATACCACCATATTTTTCTACAGAACATGAGCTCCCGTCTGAATTTTACAGCGCACAGGAAACAGACTTAAAAGATGATAAAACAAATATACCAAAACATTTTTTTGAAAATGAAAAATATATATTGCAGCGTTTACCTGACTTAGCTAAAGATATAGCCTATGCCGTTACCTCAGACATAGCTACAAACGTAACTCCAACCTGGGGAGAATTGAATAATTATATTACCAATCTGAAAAAAGTAAACACATATCTTTAGTCATGCAATCAATAATATTGTAAATAATTTAACAATTTAACAATTTATTACACAGCAAATACCGAACGTGAATGGTAATATTTTATTTAGTACATTAAAATTATGATTAGTCTTTATAACTATCAATTTTATAAAGTTAGTTGTATATTTTACCGATAAATATTCAATAAGAACACAAATGATTATGACAGGGAAAACCGTGTACTAATCGAACAATTTTGGTAGTTAATTAAATATACTATGCAAACTGTTAAAAATTAATGGAATTGAGTGGCCAAACATAAAATGAAAATGGAAATAATGCAGGTTATTGTACACTGACTCTGTGTTTACCACGGAATAAGATAGTTAAATGTAACACGGACTAGTACTGATGTTTTAAGAGCCGATGGCATAAATATCGAAATATCGACTCGCGCGTGGGAAAAACATGCGGGGATTTCGATTTCTGGACCACCGCTGGAATCGGAATGAAGTCAGTTCGAAGTTAAATCAATCTATAATAAAGTATAAACTATACCTAAAAACAATTGACACATAATTATATCCAGTAGCCATTAGACAACCAGTAGGTTGCAATATAATATAGTTTATTTTTCTTTATTATCTATTGTTACTTATTTTTAATACTCTACAAAACCTGATTAAAATACTTTTTAATATAATTATCGTTTTAATTAGAATTTAAGGTAATCTATTAAGATACAAGCTACCCTAAAATTGTGTACTTATTTATTTCACCCTTATTTTTGGGAGAAAACTGTAATGGTTGGATTTTCAAATAGCTTCCTATAGTAAAAATTCCATAAATAGATGGAGTATTAGTCAAAGTAAATTTTTCTACCGACATTTTTGATTTTCATCGGTTTGTTGACGAGATATCTCACTTTTAATATTAGGTTAGAGGAGAGTAATGGAAGTAATTTATTTGGCGGTAAGGTGAGCGGCGATTTGATAATGTAATCCTGTATCCATAATCGTGCACAGATATTAAGTTCGGATCATGATTTATAAGGTGAATACCTCTCCCCCTAATTAACTATGAAAACCTTTAAAAGCTAAATAATAGAATAAATAATTATTTCTATACACTGTTTCTATATTAATTTTCATAATTATATCAATTACCTCTTTAAATATCAGGCACTTCAAAAAAGTATATTAAAAGTTCCTTTGTAATCTTCAATTCATAATCAATATCTATTTATATATATATATACACATATATACTAACTTCGATAATATCATTCAAGCGAGTACATTAAAGCAAATTTACCTATTACACAAATTAAAGGTAAGAAGATTATTAAATGGCCACCGTTATGTTCATTCAAAATTGAATTTTTATGTAAGAATTGATAAATATTTTTGATTTATAATATTCAACATACTCATATTTCATTAATTAACATAAATATCGAAAAATCATCTACACTGGAGTACATTGATTCCTCTTACCTAATCGCGTTATTTTTGTTTAAATTACATACAATATTGTACATATTAAATTGATCAAAGATATAATATACCTATTACATATGCATAATTTTTCAATACAAAAAACCGCTATTCCAGGCATCCTAAAGAAGTTTTAGTTTTAAATTTAGGTTAGGTGGGAGTAGTGTAGCGTTATTTGATTAGTGGTACGGCACCCGGCATTTTACGGGTGATAAACATAATATGGTAATATGATTATAATCACAATATAACGTCCAACTTTCGGTAAAATTTCGAAAAATAATTGATAGGCAAACTATCGAACGGACATCAAACAAAACTAAAAAATTCCTTGCAATAGTCAGAACCTAATTGTTAAGCCTTATGTGGTCATTTTATTTCAAATTCTAAGAAAATCGAGGAATTTAAATTGGTATTACTATGATTTGTTTTTGTCTATGAATAACAATTCTACAGGAAATCTTGTAACAAAAAACAAGTGTATAATGTACACAAGATAGTGTTTNTTTTTTGTTTTGTTTTAATGTGCTAATTATTTTGAACAAATAATATTATGTTTGTAGGGTTTTAAGCGTTTTAAAATAAAATGTTTGCGAAATATTACCGAACTTTGCTCAGGTTAATTTTCCTTACGATATGGTTCTCTTTCAATATACCTGACCATTCCTTAGTATCCGAGAAGACACTTTGTTTTACTTTGTTACGTTTATTGCAACTTATTCGATAATTTAAACGGCAATATTATTGGTTTGTTAAATTCAAATATCAGTATTTGACTTTTTTTTTACTTTCCCTTTATACATATCGTTTTTCAATACAATATATTGTAAAATCATTTTCCTACTGGTAATTTTTGTATTTTCACTATCTTTATATGTAGCTATTTAACATAACTATTTATATTTTTTAACAATTAGTAAGTTGTTCATTCAAGCTGGATATGGTATTTTATACAATCAATGTTAAGTTTAACAGTATATTGTTTGGGACAAAGAATTATAGATTTATGGTCGACCGTGAAAGAATAGAAGATGTGGTGTTGTCTAACCTTGACATGGATACATCAAACGATGAATTAGACAATGAATCAGACGATGAAGAGTATGTCTATAGAATATGTAACTTAATAATATGCATACATTACCTTATATTAAATATTAATGATATTTTAAATTCTGTTCATAGCGAGGGAGATATTCATTTTATAATGCCGACTATTTTAATTTATATTCCAATCATGGTAGTTGATGTATTGGTTTTACTAATATCAAAATCTTGGGCCAGCTAATTTTTACTTCAAAATATAAAACAAACTTTCTGTATCCTACCTCGCCAACTTTTCACCTTCAACTATGGCCATTCCTATACCCAATATCAGCTTTTTTTTAAAAAATTTTACATTTTATGAGATGGATATATTGATTGATTTGCAATACAATAAACAATAATGAAATTAATTAAATACCGATACAATTTAATTATGTAGTACAATAACATCAATAAAATAAAATATGATAAATTTATAACTTACAAAAATTGTAAATAATATATTTTAAGGAATCTTTTACGTAATCGGAAAAGTGAAATATAATTAAATATTTGGTATTTATTCGTAAACGGGAAATGACATTTATATAATTATTTAAAAATGCACAATTTAGTTAAAAAAAAATCGTGTTCTATAACACTTAAATAAGCGAGTTTTTATATTGCCTTACAATTATAATCGAAGACTGAACGTAACTTATTTTTTTAAAAAATTAGGACTCTAACCACTGATAAACTCCAAATAATATTTTTTTTGTTATCTGAATATAAGTGGATTAAGAACTAAATGTTTTATAACATTAACTTAATATAGACAGTAAATTAAAGTATAATGACTAATAGCATTATTGTTATTTTTATCATTATGTGTACTTAGCTATACTACAATACCAATATCATCATTGGGGGAGAATGTAATCTCAATAACTACCGAAGCAGAATTTGTAAAACTTGCATCTGATACACACTATTTTCCTTACCACGTAAGTTCATTCCCTCATCAGTATGAGAATAATAATAATGTGAATGAGTTACACATACATTTTTTGACAGGTGGTAATAGCGGTGTCAATTGATGAACAAGACAAATGGTGCCAAGGTGTATTAATCAAATCAAACTGGATATTAACTTCTAGGACTTGCATCAAAAAGTAAATATTTTATTTAAAATAATAGTACTATAATGCAGATTATTGTATTTTATTCTGTACAATAATATTTACATGTAGATGATAATTAGATATTATTGCTTTATAAAAAATGTGTATTATTGTCTTCATACTTGCGGTCAGTAAAAATGCCACAATTTTTTACGTAGTATACATGAGAACTTACTTGAAAAGATGCAGAAATTCTGTCTGACAATATCATATACGAAATGTTGTTTAATTCATCTCATTAAACCTGAAACAAACAATTTCCCATAATCGGGACTGTGAAAAGTTATCGGTATTCTTAAAAAAATAAATATAGTAGGTGTTTACTATAAATAATAATACAATTTTTATATTTTACCTTCTGGCGTTTTCACAAGAATATGTAGACTACACATGCAGTGAAGCAAAAACACATAATGAGTATACCAGCTTTAAGAATCATATTTTTTACAAATAATTTACATTCAGGGTATTTACGGTATTGGCTTTCATAATATATTTCGTACTTATCTAAATGCATTTTATTTTGTCTTAGGCACTTTGATATTGAATCCAATATATTCGAGAAGGTATTTTTGGACGCAATTAATCATACGAACTCCGAAGGAATAATTTATTCCTATGTAGTATTTAAAAATCGTATAAGCGTTGGTCAGATTGTGTTGGAACCAGTTCCAGACGGACTTGATGATTTACTGTTATTGAAAGCAAGTATTTAGGAGTACATAATTATTTAATAAGTTTAAGTTTAAATGAGCCATTTATTTCATGCCCAATTGTTGTCCATTGATGTTGTCGGGTCGTTTTGCCCAATTCAATGTAGTTAAATAACAATCGTTCGATAACAATGATATTGATAAGAAAAAATAGCAAAAATCACAGACAATAAACAATCGATATAATACTAATACCTTTATATTAACTAGTTTGAAAAAACAATACATTTCGAGAGAGTTAAAATTTTGTGATATGAACAAGTCGATTTTAATTTATACGTTGTTTCAATAATTCTATTGGTGGAGGGGAGATTATTTGTTCACGCACCGTTATCACCGGTACCCATAAGCGTTATAGGACCTGCCGTCCCACTCCCATGCCCCCCCCCTAGCTTTGTTGTTACGCAAACCGGTACCGCTCGCCCGGTCGACCTTCGTGTGTGTGCGACCTTTGCCGTACGCTCGTGGCCTGTCGCCTGCGTCCATTGTTGTGTTCGGTGCCAAAGTCGCGTTGTAGTTTCCGTTGTTGTCCATTGATGTTGTCGAGTCGTTTGTCGTTTTAAGCACCGCCACCTCGTGGGACTTTTGTCAAGTAACCTCCATCGCTGCTTATCTGCCAAACCCCATTGGACCGCCGCTAAAAACGTCTGGTCGTGAGTCGTGATAGTCTTGTATAATATGTTTATTTTATCAATTTATAGGTTAGCAAACCATTTGTTTATGTATGCCCGCGTGATCAAGTTTCCGATTACACTGTTATTATTTTCTTTTTGTTACTATTTTAATTTATATATATGTATTGCGCACAAATCTAACTTTGGTCGATTCTGAACCAGCTTATTTCAATTTTGTATATTTAAATATAAATAGTAGGAGCATCTCGGCTAAACATTATTGCTTGTATACAGTAGTTGCTTGTATGGGTTACTTCAGTGTAATTCATTATTGAATAATTAGTTTAATGAATCATTAAAATCAGCACAATTTCGATGAATATAACTAAGTATGTTGTTTAATCTATTAGGAAAGTTGTTGACATTACATTCAATATAAAGTTTAGGAACAACAAAAAATACCAAGGTTCATAATAGTTCTCATAGTTCGAAGAAGCATATCATTGTACACATTTTAATTTTATGTTCAGAATAAAGTTTGGTGATTATTTTCGTATCATTTGCTGTAAAAATTAAAATTAAAATAAAGGACAAATAAAATGAAGATTTTACAATTCCCTTTGATTTTAATATTTAAATCTTAATTTAAAAAAAAAAAAAA